TAAGCAGTACAAAATGATCAGTAATAATACGCAAAATACTCAAAAAATACATTAGATTTGCTTTGGCCAACTTTTAAAATATAAGATCCATAAAACACTTAGGCCAGTTAGTTTTAACGGATACAAGAATTGAAATGCTGACAGTGTTTTGTGTGGAGTAATGAGTTTTACAGTTTAAACTATTTTGAATTGAAAAAAATTTAATGCAGAAGTTTTTCTCTTGAATCTGCATTACATCTAAGGGGAGGATGAGGTTGTATGCGAATTGTAGAGTTTATTTTTATAAACCTGACACATATATTCAGATCGTGTAACAACACTGTCGGGAATTTGCTTAATGTCTGGCTATCTGTTATTCGATGCTTTCACGTTAAATTGGCAAAAGACGTTGTTTGACTGCAAGCCAAGAATTTCAAAATATCAGGTTATACGCTTTTTTGTGCATATAATCAGCTTAGATCGGTTATATCTTTTTTTTTTTCGCGCGATAGAGAGTCTTTTTTTGCCCTGTAAAGTTACAGGAGACAAATCATGATTTTTCGTGAATAATTTCAATATTCAGCTTTCTACAGCCTCGTTTACACCTGTCATTTCCTGCCCCGTTCTTATCCACTTTCCTCATTTTGTTACATATGCGGCGCCATCTTTTACGCCTGAACTTTCGTTTTCGACGCAGGTCACTGAAAAATTCTAATATTTCTGCGATTCGTTGACTCGTTTCGATTATTTTGTCAAATAATTTGTATTAATTTTTTTTTTAGATGATGTTTGGCGTGAATATGTTTAGCGTTATATTGTGTTTTGTAAGTCTTGTTGAGCAAGGAACTTTGATTTCGCCGTTTCATTTTCTGGTAGCTCATGAAGGATTTGCAAGAGACGTATTCCTGTTATCATTGTTTGGCGCTCTGGGACAGGTTTTTTCTTTTTGCTTTTTCCAGATTATCTTCAGAGGACTTTCTAAACTCACCGGATAGAAGTCAGAAGTCAAATTGGTTGGGTATGGCGTTCTGGGAATTAAACTGCTGAAGGTCCCGTATCCGCTTATAGAAAAACCAGACCTTTTACGATTTTTCCCATTCGTTTTGGTGATAAGCAGATTGTAGCAACCAGGTTGACCCTAGAAGCCTAAATGGCGACGGCGCGGTAGATTACAATATCGGAGAAGGAGATAAGAGTGAGATAAGACGTTTCGGTCCATTAAGTCATATACACTTTAATTCAACACCGCGACAGGACTTCG